GTGATCTGGGCTCTCCCTCCAGGTTCTCCAGCCCAGAGGTGGAGAATCGGGGGAACTGTAGAGGTAATTTACAGCTGTTTAGTAAACGGTGTGTTTGACTGATCTCTTACTGTAATCTTGCGAGATTATAGTAAAAGCAGCCATTTTCTAGCGTTCAAAGCATTTGTAGATCGCTTCTTTCTCCCTTCATTCGGAGAAGCGATCTACACCGCTTCATAAAAAGTCATTCAGAGGAGAACTCTCTTCCCTGAGAATGCCGGAGAACTGAGCAGTGGTCATTTACCACTGCTTGATAAAAGGACACCTAAACCTTTTAGACTAGAGATGAAAAAGGATTCAACCCCTTGTCAAGGCAGCATTAGGGAGATTTTCCCTCACGCAGCCCAAACATGCTTCATTTTTCTTTTCTTGTTTCACCATGGGATTGAATGGAAAAAATAACCCAATCCCCCCATTCACACACTAGATGTGGATGGGGGAATCACTCTCGCTGAGCTATTGTATTCTAACAGTGGGGAAGCTTCCACTCTATCAGAATACACTGATCATGGCTATAGCCGGTGGCACTGAATGAAAAAAAACCCAACAGGGTGGTTGTAAAGCAGTAGATAAACTTCTCTACAACCAGTCTAGCCATACATGGATCAAAATTTTGCCAGTCCCTGCTGAACCAGCTGAACTTTGATACCAGCTGAACTTTGATTCATGTATGGCAGGCTTTGCTCATTGTGTCTCAATCACAATGGACTTACAAGATAGAAATTAGGGAGAATCTCCAAAAAGGACACAGATAGCAATATTAAGCTGACAGAGGTTATAGCCTTCCACTGTGAGAGCTACTAGCCACAATTCTAGCTGTCACTGATAGCTCTGACAGTTCCAGTTCCTACTCATTATTAGAAACAAATCTGAAAGGTACCCAAACATGATCACTATGTCATGTATGACACTTAAGGGTTTATTTACTAGAGCTGGTTCACTCAGAATCTCATGCACCTATGCATGGTAGCCAATCAGCTTCTAACCTCAGCTTGTTTTATTAAGCTTTAGCAATAAAACCTGTAAACTGATTGATTTCTATGCAGAAGTGCACAAGATTCGGAGTGAATCAGCTTTAGTAAATAAACCCCATAGTGATCATATGATCACTATGTCATTCATGACACATGCAGGCTAAAAGTTATATTTACAAAATAAGCCTTGAGATGTCATACAACACTACAGACGCCACTGCAGTCTGTTCCTCTGTTTGATACTGCAAATATTAAATACAATTACAACTTAAAAAAATAAAAAAAAACTTCTGGTTTACATTTTTGTGCTTTTGTCAGCAGGATTCTAGCTAAACACTGTACCAAATAAAAATCTACAAAATAAAAAGATTGAAGTGGGTATGCAAATTGGTTTTAGAGTTATTATCAAGTTAACGCATACATGCCAGTTCTGCTAAATTTGGTCTGGGCATCTAAGAATCAATGACCTATGATCTCCAAAGGGTTAAAAAAGGCTTACAGTGCCAGTTGGCATTAATTACAAACAGAAAGTCTGCAAGTAATGCAAGGGAAAGCCAAAATTTACTTTTTTTTTTACTTTTCAATATGGCAGGATTTGCAGGTTGAAAACTGGATAATTGATGGTTCTTTCTCTTTCACTGTAATTCATTTTTAATATTATGCATATGTTTTGTAGAGTAAAAGTGTTTCCTCCTTTATAATAAATATTGATAAAAAAAATCTTACTTCCACTACCAGTATCTTTCTGCTCCTGCTACATGTACAACAATAAATGTTACTAAACTATTCTAGGTTACCAAGCTTTCACACAGTCTATTTTAATGTTCCTTTTTAATGAATGTTTGTTTTTTTTTTCAGTAGAAAATCAAACTGATAAACTCCTCAGCAAATAAACTGGCACTTGCTATACTAAAGGTTTTGCCTATTTATCATTGTTAAATAACTTGCATGTTTAGTTAGGTGGTCTAATTTAAAAAAACTGTAAGAAAATAATCCTTTTAAATAAATGAATACATTTTGGTCAATTAATGCAATGAAAATTAAATTATAAAAAAGATCTAGAAACAGCAATTTTGTTTGCTGTTCAAGCTTATAGTGTTTTCCAACATCTCAGAAAACACTTTATATTAATCAGCTCACACCTATGCCCGTTCTTCTCTACTTGCAATGCTAGAATCACCTAGTTTGCTGCAAACATGGTTGACATGGCATATCAACTTAGCAGATACATTTTCATATGGGGAGAAGCACTGACAACAACTGAAATTCAGACAGAAAGCATCTGGAAAGCTATTTATTTTTCTCATTGGTAGGCAGACAATTAGGTTTCTTATGTAGAGCCAGCCCAGCCAAAAAGGATATCTTGTCTGAAGTGGTGCACTGTGGGAGAGGTGTTGTCCAAAGCTAGTACATTTTTTCCTTGGGGATGCAAAATCTCTACACTTGTATTGTCTAACAGTGTCTAATGTGCATGCAACATCTGGGTCTATGAGAAGGTAGAGCTTTATACAAGGATGGGGTTTAATACAAGCAGTGGGTGTGGCATCTTAGTGATGTTTGGGGTGAAGCCATAAGTTATAATTGCATATGGTGTGAATAGCTCACTACCTTTGCCAGAATTTTTCAAAACCATAGCAAAGTCAACTAGAAGTCTTTTCCCAAAAGGGTTGCTAAAACAAATAACGTATTCTATGGTCTCTGTCCAGCCTTTGGGTTTGTTTTATGAATTCTGTAGCGCTCATAGTTACACCAACTAATGTCATTAACAAAAGTGAAACTGGTATAATGCATATATTAATATAATATACTGTCATATCTGCTTTCAAATACTGGTATTAAATAAATATGCTCTAATTATTTAAATCATTGGTTCTCAACTCCCAGTAGAGTTACACAATAGAAGAATGCAGATGGATGGGCAATGTAATACAGTCACCCAATCATTCCCTAACACTCTATATTATAAAAATTAGTAATATTCACAAAATGTTATTTTGCTACAACCTTCTGTTGTTTTTCAAGCTATACCACCATTGTATTTCTACTGCATCTTGCATTCTTAACAAATTAGGATACCTATTGGAAAGGTGGTCATTAGTACTTCAAACTACTATTGGCTACACAAAGAGAACCACTTGTTTAAATAATGAAATAGCTTTATAAAATCATCAGGGCATCACAAATTTGTGAAAAAGGAATTGATATTCTATTGCACTATGTAGGGTGAAAGTTATGGAGTTTAACTTGTTTCTTTGTACGTTATCTTTAGAAACAAGCACAAGTCATTCCTACATGAGTTTCAATAATGCAACTGACAGAATACCTCTACAATATTGCAACTAGCAGCCTGTGAACTGAAGTAGATAATGGCAAAGCAGTACAGAGCAATTGAGCACTGACAAATTCACTCTGGAATATGTTGGGCCATCTTGAATTATCTGCACTTGTTTCAAGGGACAACTCAACTGAAACAAGATAAATCTACAAAAGACCTTAAAAAACAAGCATATCTGCTTTAACATTACTATATTAAGTATTCTACCAGCCATGCAGAAAGCCATATTTAAAAAAAAAAATCCTAGGGTAAATAACAAAATAAAATAAATGCAAAATGCCAACAGAAGAAAAAAAAAGTGACATTTTCCAGGTTACTCTAGGATGGCCATTTGGTGGGGATAACACAGGAAAAAAAAATGTTGATAAAAATGCAAATATCCAACTGTGAAGAATTCTTGGTGTGTATTTTCACAGTTAAAGGATGTTTTGTGCTGCAAAGAGCAGGACCGTTAAATACTTGGAGCCATGTATAACATTTCATTATCTTACAAACATAGAGGACGCAAAACACAAGGAGGTTTTTTTTCTGACTGTGCTGTTAGTACACATGTACAGAAAACACAAACAGTTTAAAAGGCTTTAACACAAATATGAGAAGGGAGGTGGAGAGCAATTTTCGATGACTTTTTTTATATTTTTCTTTTAATTTGTCATGTACTAAAATGGCTCTGCTCTTGATACAAAGTATCTGCAGTGGGTTTTTGATTTTGAGACAGCACAAATTAACTCCTTAAGTGACAGTGTGATTCCTGTACAGCCTGCAGGATCACATGACTTAAGGAGCTATAAAAAGAAAATAAAGGAAAAAAAAAGAAAACAGAAAATATTACAATCCTATTATTTTGTAAGGCATATACAGTTGTTCACCTGCATCCTTTTGATTCTCTATTTGTAAGAGAAAGCGAGGAGGAAAGAAGAGAAAGAACATAATATGCACGATTAATGAGCAAGTGGACCAATCCGTTACCCCCATTCACTTCTGGTAAATGACATTTGACCAAAAAAAAAAAAAAAAAGTACTATACACCCAAAATCATTAACATAGATATTTCATAATCAAACAGGAAGTGGAGGCTGCACCAGATTAGGGGGAAAATGGAAGAAATCAGTGAACTTTATACAAAGTTTTTAGACATCAATTATATATTTTTTTTAGTAAGAGATTAATCAAGTGTTCTTTTTGGTCCGCTGCAAAAGTTTTTATAATAAAAAAAATGGGTTAAGACAACTGGTGAGTATCGTACGTTCCTCAACTGTTATGATATAATTTAGTACACAAGGTCGTTACAAGCGCAACCTCTAGCTCTATCACATGTCCCCTGATGAAAAGGTACCCTTGAAAACTGGTTGCAAGCATTTAACAAATTGGCGATACACAGAAGCAAAAGTAAAAATGCATTCAGGTCACAGACATAAACTTACAGACAGGTGCCAGTTTAAACAGACAAATGGCTTTGTTGTTTTAACCTCTTTTAGGCTGATAAAAAGTGACTGGACTTTCACACTGGGTTTCACAGACAGAAGCAACAGACAGGGAGAATGCTCATAGACTTAAAGCAAGGAAAGTGATTTGGTTTGGATCTGAAGGTTCTCGAGATAATGGCAACAGAGTGGAGACAGCATGGAGAGGAGGTGGAGGTAAGTACTCACGAATGGTTAAATCCATCACTTGGGAGGCCAAGCAGAAGACAGGGTGTTCATACATTTCTCTCTTTTTCCCTATAAAAGAGGATTTGGGCATGCAAGAGGCTTAGGTCAGAGAGGTAAAGAGGTCAAAGGTTAGAGGAAAATGTTACATCAGGTTAAAAGGAGAAAAGATTTTACGTATTTTGGGACACACAGAAAAGGGTGTTTTTAAATTTGAATGTTTCTGGATTAACCATTCAGCATGCCCATATGTCACAGATTGGGATGTTGTACAGTTTATTTGTGCTTTTAAGGGATTTTTGTACTTTTTGCAAGACTCAAATGATCCAAACATAAAAGGAAAGAAAACTGACGAATTTAGCTTAAGATACTAAGCATTCAAGCCTTAAGTATCCAAGGCACGTAAAAATTTTCCTCACAAGCATAGACTCCTAAAAAGTACCACTGCCATGAGAATTTGATACCTTTATTTCTGAGGTCAATTTTTTTTTAACAATGACTCCATTGTTGGAGTTGAGATTTTGAACTTGAATAGTATTGGGCAGTAGCCTTTGAAGCAAAAGTACAATAACCTTGCTATGCCTGTGAGAGAAAACCAGACTCATGCAACTGGTGGATGTTGGGTTGTTAAGAGTTAACAATCCCAGCATGCTCTGGTATTGACATAGCAACCACTTCCAGAAAAGCAGAGGGAAAATGGCTGTGCCAATAACGAGTAAGGAGGGAAAGAAGCGAAGAGCAGGTAGTGTGGGATGAGGAACTTCTCTAAACAGAGAGCTGGAAAAGAAAAGGATTGTTGCTTCAAAGTATTCCCAGACCTAAAAGTCACAGTGCAGAAAAAAAAGGGGCAAAGTATTCACACAACTGAGAAGAACTGCGGCACAAAAGAAGAGCTATAGTGTTCTACGTTGGAAATGAATGCATTTTTACTTACAGATTTTTTTTTTTAAAGATTTGTTTTGCAATGACTTATCTGAAAGAAGAGAGCAGATCTTACCAACGAGTTAGCACTTACTAAAGAAAGAACAGCTCTGACAAGGCAAAATTTGTGATGGAGGAAAGTTTTCCCTGAAACAAACTCCTCCCATCTCTAATCAGCCATGTTTTTTATACTTTATGTAACAAGGGAATTAATGTCTTTGTTTTGCCAACCAAAGAGCCTTTAATTCATCATCCAAATCCACAACAACAACAAAACCTGCATAGCTTTATTTGTATCAGTCATCTCTAGGACAAGATCTATTCAAGAGAAAAAATCCCTTTAGTGCCCAATTCTTAAGTGTTTCTCACTAGGCAAAGTTTAATAACTTCTCTTTCAGCCATTCCTTCAGCATTGTCAGGTGGGCAAAGTTAAGACCCACTTGACCTACAAAGGACATGGACAAAGAAACCCTTTCAAGGTATAAAGGATTGTGAAAACCAACAACATATTTTACCAAACAATTTATAGGCTATAAATATTTGTTAAAAATTACATGTACAGAGCTATGCTACAAAGCTACACCACATTTATTTTTTTATATCAACAAATTAACCCAATTTGATATAAACAAAACATATGTTCAGTGCAAACCAATACTTTCCGGTTGACCAAACAGCAAAACACTAAACTCTTCAAAATTAAAGTACCGGTACAAATATACACAGACAGTTGCTGTTCCAAGATAAAACATAGACAAATATTAAAACCAAAGTACAACGTTTCAATTGCATCAGTTTTATAAACATATATTAAAAAGACCTTGCACATGAATCAACCAATTTTCTTTTTGTACTTTCTAAGTAAACATTTGGATCAGTCAATGAACCAAGTGAACCAGTGAGCTTCCTGCAAAGTTATGAAATGAGTCTCTTACCTTCAATTTTGGCATATTCAGATAGTCTTGTGTAGTTGACTAAAGCAGCTTGCTCCAGGCATTTCCGGATTACATTTTTCACATCCTCTTGAGGAACTGGAGTAACTATATCTTTCATTAAAACCTTAATAACGGGAGATCAGTAGAACAGGAGGTGAAACGTACAGGTCTTTTCAAAAGCAAAAGGACAAACTTCTAATATTTTTAGGAGTATAAAGAATTTTCTTTTGCTTTTAGAATGTAAATCACTATAGATGCTGCTTTAGCTCAACCAAGTATTATCCTTGTTTATTTTTCTCTTTTAATAAACAATTACCATGTGCCCCAAACACTTTCATGGTCTTCAGAGTAGCTGATCAAAGGGTATAACCATAACAAATTTATTGGTGCAAGAGGAGAAAGTATTACACTTCTTTAAGGAGAAATGACTGCTTACCCTCTCCAACAAGGATAAAGTTGCTTTTAATGCTCCCTCTGGTCGGCCAAATGGAAAGCAATACCTACAAATAAAGGAATATACACATTTCCCCTGTGTAAATCCTGTTTCCAGGGAGTAAGCTAATTAAATGACATGTTTTTTTTTTTTCACTGTTTAAGAGATGCTTTACCTAAAATGTGTGATTTGATTTTCCAGCAGCAAGCGAAGTCTTTCCTTGATCTCTTCAAATCGCTCCTTTTCTTCAACTGTAACTGTTCCTATGCCATCAGGCCTGGAGGACAAGAGAAGGAAATGAGTGACTTTGGTTGGTTCACCTACTGACACAAGAAGCAGCATACAGTGCAGTCAGAGCTGATGAGACTGCAGTAAACTTGTCTGTGTGAGTCACGGTACATGACAGAGAGCATCAAAATGTATATATATTTGGAAAAATAAAAGGGAGAAACTACGTATATTACTATACTACAGTTTAATTCTAAATAATTCACTATATGGGACTTAGATCCTGAACAACAAATTGCTACAACATCTGTCATGAATATTAGTTTTTAATCATTATTATTACTATTACTACAAATCCTAATGAATGCATGACTTGGCAGAATCTGCCAAGTTTGCTGTACAGTTTTTAATGGTAGCTGTAAACCGAAAGAAGAGAGCAGATCTTACTAACAAGTGCCAATGCAAAGGATGCAAAAGTGCAAATGCAATGTTAACTTAAAGTGTAAGTAAAGCCAAAACATATATTTTTTTTTAAATTTTGGATAGAATGTTGAAGGGTTACTTATGCCTGGTTTCTAAACACATACATCAGATCTCCATAGAGCAGTGGTCTCTAAACTGTGGCCCATGGCCCAAATACAGCCCTTTTTTTGCCTTTTTCTGGCCCCCTTGGGCCACCCACTAATACATATCAATGGGGGGGGGGCACTAATCCTGCACTGGCAGCAACAATGAGGCATTATTCCTCTCAATGACACCTACAATGGGCATTATTCCTTCCACTCACACCAAAAAATCGGGCACCATTCCTCCCACTGATACCAGAAATCAAGCTCTTTTCCTCCCACTGACACCAATGAAGAGGCGTTATTCTATCCAATGATGCCAACAATTGGCACAATTCCTCCAAATGATACCAATGATGGGTTACCATTCCTCCTACTCACACTGACAATATTGCACCATTCTTCCCACCAATACCATTCCTCCTCCTACTGACCAAAAACACTAAGTCATTTACTTACTCCCACTGACAACCAAACCTAAGGTATTGTTTATTCTCACTGACACTGGGACATTTTCCATTCCCACTTTCCAAAGACTGGCCACCCAAAGTCTGAAGGACAGTAATCTGGTCCTTTGTTTAGAAAGTATGGAGACCCTGCGATAGAGGATGGCTTCACCTGATTCTGTACACCTGCCTGTTTTAGTGATGGAAAAGCAAAATTTTTCTGTTGTCACCAAAAACATTAGGTGAGAAGATATCATCTACTGGGTAAACCTGTCCTGATCACAACAGTCTATGAGGGGATAACCCTTCGCTTTGGAGAGCTTCCCTCTTACTTCTAGCTGTGTCACTAGAACAGAAAGCGAAGGGAAATCTAAGAGGGTGTCCTAAGGTGGTCACACACAGATTGATATGACCATACAATCAATTATTCAATGTGACGAAAATGATCAAAACCATAGATCCTCAATTCAATTGATTTAGTAAGCTCTTGCATCATCTAGGAGGCAAAATGAACAGCTCCTGGGCTTTGGGTCTTGCTAAACAGTGCTCCACAGAAGCTGCTTTAAATACAATGCAGATATGATATCACTAGCAGAGAAAAAAGTGTTTAAGATGATTAAAAAACAATGTATAATATGTTGTTGTGGACTACAAATGTGAAAAAAGACCCTTGGTTAAAAAATATTTACTAAAGTTTTACATTAAAGTGGAGTTCCACCCAAAAGCTTCACTGCCAGTTTCCCTTAGTCAAGATGGCAGTGTCAGCACCCGACAGTCAATTGAAGAATAGGCTTGGGGTGAGGACACCACTGGATCCCTGGCAGGTAAATGCCTTAATATTAAAAGTCAGAAGTTACAGTATTTGTACCTGCTGACTTTTTTTTTTTTGGAGTGGGTGGGGGGGGGGGGGGGGGGCAGAACTCCTCTTTAAAAAAGGAATGGGTAAGTGAACATGTGTTCATGTGAACAGATAGATAGATAGATAGATAGATATAGATGGATACAGTAGATTGCTAGAAAAACAAGTCCGATCCATGAAGGCCCAACCTCGCAACTTACAAGGATCTGCTACTGATGGCTTGATGCAAGATACCACAGCATACTTTCAGAGGTTTAGAGGAGTCTATGCCTTGTTGGGTTATGGTGGGTGGTTCTAACATTATGGCTGATCGGTGTATATGCCCACTGAGAGAGGTATATAGCATCTATCAAATTAGAAAGTACAATGGGGGGAATTTACTAAAACCGATGCAGTTATTCATAGAAACCAATCAGTTTCCAGGTTTTATTGCCAAAGCTTAACTGAACAAACTGAAGTTAAAAGCTGAATTGCTACCATGCACAGCTGCACCAGGTTCAGAGTGCTACAGTTTTAGTAACCCCCCCGCACCCCCCCAAAAAAAAGTGACTTACAAATATAATATTTATGTGTTTTTTTACTTTTCTGTAAAATTTTTGTGCACACAAAGTCAGAGACACACAATGTGTATAGATTAATCCATACAACTAAGAATTAAATAGAGCCGAGAAACTGTGAACTGCTAAACGAAAGGCGTATAAGGTGACAGAGTACAAGTATACACTTCCTCTTGCCTTTATCCCCAGGCGGCTACATAATATAGATAGCTCTCGAATATTTACACCGTACCATAATCCATATGAATGGGACAAGAGACAAGTCTAATCCATTCACTAAAGAAATCAGCAGCCCAGACAGCCATCGTTATTACTCACTATTGTTGTCGCGCAAAGAGCGCGGATCCAATGATTACCTATGTCGTTCTATGTCAGCACAGTCTGTTACTGGTAATATAAGTCTTGTGAAAACTGCACAAATGTTCGAAGTCCCGGCCTCCTCCAGTGAAGGGACTAAGCTTTGCAAATCCTCAGCACTAGTCTAGTTTAGTTACACAAAAGACTTGGCAAAGGATTACAAACCTTTAATGAACCTCCTGTCAGGGGTTAATTGGTTAGCTTTACTTCCCTTTCTTAAACAAATCAAAAGGCCTTAAATTCCAAAAATTGCAATCTGTACTGTAATGTTTGAACGGCCTCTTAACAAGAGAGGCCTTTCACAAGAGAATATGGTTTCTTTATACCCTCCACCAACCTTGCTACTGATAATGTCTGCCATTTGTGGCTGGTACAAAAAAAATAATAATACACATTTCAAAAAGAAACCAATAATATGCTTGAGCAACAAGTCTGTCTTACAATATACAGAAATAATATTTATAACTCATAAAAAAAATCTCAAGTATAGAAAACAAAACCTACAAAAGAATCTATAGGGATTTTTTTTTAATTCTGGGGAAAAAAAAAATTAACCACTTAACCTCCAGAAGGTTTTACCCCCTTAACCTCCCTGGCGGTATTCCCGAGTGTAGCTCGGGGTAAAATTTCAGTACCACAAGCAGTATCCCCCCCGAGCTACACTCGGGCTTACCATGCGGCGTTGCTCAGGGAGTCCCTGCAGCGCTTACCTTGTCCTTCGCTCCCACGATGCATCCCCTGCAGCGTCCCCCGCCATCTCCTCCGGCCGATGCCAGCATCTGGCTTCCGTGTTCTGGTCCCTGTGAGCGTCAGGACGTACGGGACGTATGGGGGCCGGAACCAGTGGCAAATTTACAAATTTTAGAATATGTCATTTTCTAATAAATGAAAATGACATAGTAAAACATTACTGTTTCAAACCATTTCACATACATTTTGTCCCGAGTGCTCTGTCCTGTGCCCTGCCTTCATTTTGACTGTTTTTTCTGCCTGGAAACTTAGAAAAGTCCATGGCGTCCAAAAAGCGTCACTTTAGGTCAAAAGCGGTTTTAGACCGGCTAGAGAACAGCGATAGTAAATCAGAACCACTTGCAGAATTGAGTGATAATGATTCGTGGGGGAAATTCGTCATCAGACACTGAAAACAATTTTGTGACTTTGCTCAGTGATGTGCGAACTTGCCGCTATATTTAAAATTTCAGTGTTTTTGGTTTGATTATATTATTGAATTAAATTTATTATTATATATTATATTATTATTTTTTATGATTATTAATTAAATTATAATTTATGATTTCGAGTTTCAAGTTTTATCCTACTCGGGATGTTTACCAGACTCTTGTTCGGACAGATTTCAGTGAGTTATTCCTAAAAATTACAGGCCTACAATACAAAACACCAAATTTCCATGCAAAATAATGGTAGGCCGACCCCCCGCTTTCAGCACCAAAAATCTGAAATAATCATACCGCCAGGGAGGTTAATGACCAGGGCAATTTTTGCTATTCAGCACTTTGCTACTTTAACTGACAATTGCACGGTCATACAACAAAATGTATATCATTTTTTTTTCACACAAATAGAACTTTCTTTTGGTGGTAAAAAAAAACAGTGGTGATCTAGTACCACCAAAAGAAAGTTCTATAACTTTCTTTTGGTGGTATTGGATCACCACTGTTTTTTTTTATTTTTTATTATACAAACGAAAAAAGACAGAAAATTTTGAAAAGCAAATAATATTTTCTTCTTTTTTTGTTCTAAAACATAAAAATGTTTTTAAAAAATCACATTTCTTCATAAATTTATGCTAAAATGTATTCTGCTACATGTCTTTGGTAAAAAAAGAAAAACAAATCCCAATAAATGTTGTGAGAAATAGCATCAAGGGTAGAGCTTTAAAGTACACCACCACTCACTTTCTTCTTTTTAAGGGCCATTTTTGCCCAATTTTATTTAAATGAAAGTTCCATACATTTCACTCTTCAAAACACAGATATTTAACCTCCTGGCTTGTACATACAATTCTGCCGCTCTGGCCTTCCACTTCTGGCTCACAGCTGTCTCCTGCAGACTCCTTTCTAAATAGCTGTTTGCACAGAGATAGCAGCCCCTTGCGGCTCTGGCTCTCACCTCTCCTAGGTGGAGTTCTCCTGACTCCTGGGTAATGACCTCCTGTCAGCCGGGGTGGAGCCCAGAACCCTAGTCAGGTTATTATTTAAAGCCCTGAAACACACCTCTACAATTAGTGTGCTGGGGGTTCAGAA